TACATGGTCTCCCTGAAAACAAGACCAAGTTGCGACAACGAGGTCAACCCACTTCTAGCAATCGAAAGGAGACTGCGACCACACCAGAGGCCACAACATCTTGGTCTTCATATATTCAATCTTTAGAGCAAGTTATCATCGTTACAACCAAATTCAAGCAAACGAGTTAATACAATTCTCGGCAAATGTTTTAAAATTGTTGAGTTTACTTCCATTTTGAGTGGAAGTGTCGCGTGAAGAAAGATTCGAAGGTCGGTTCCACCAGAAGACGACGGCGGATTTCTCTTGACCAGCTGTCGATTGGCTTTACGGGAACATTCGTGATGACGCTGTTTCCGAAGTAATCTCCTTCGATTCCGGTGAAATGGTGCTAAGCTTTCGTCCGTCATTTGACGGACATCATCAGAGCGAGGTAACATCGTCACAACAAAATTGAAGCTAACGAATCAAGAAAATTAGGAAAACAATTATGGAACAAGAGATTGCTCGAAACCCAACTTTTCTTCGCATATAAAAAAGTCTAAAGCCAACCTCTTAGCATCAAGGCTTAATGACCCAAAAAGAACCACGACCCAAACTGAGTAAGTCCGTAAGTATCTCCGAATGCGATAATGAGGTATACATTTGCACGTGTGTAAGTCAACTTACGAAGGTACCTATCATACCCTGTCCATCTGGGGTCACTGAGCAGACAAGTTGAGTCGCCTTCTTCCGAACGGCCGATTCACAGGCTCTCTCTTCTTCAATCTGCCAAGTAAGCAAGTGTAGATATGAAGACTAAGATGGTGTGGCATTCGGGTTGTTCGCGGTCTCCTTTAGCTTGATGGTGTTGGTTCGACCTCGTCTCCAAAACTTCGTCGGAGCGTACCGAGTCCTGTTCTCGATTACGCCATGTTCGAGGGTTCATAGCAACTGATGCCCACGCCAGTGCCTCGGAGACTTCTTCTTGCCCGGCTTCAAACACATGACTCGTTTGTCCTCTTTTCCACATTGTACCTCATTCTTTGGGTCTAATTCATAACGGCTGGTGTGAAAATGAACCACTTCTCTTGTTCCCCTCCTCAACCGTGTGTGGCACACTCCTCTCGTCTTTCACGTCGGCATTCCCATCTAACCCTGGGGCATTACGTTGTTCGTGTGTCTGTCGACTGGTATGACACGTCGTCAAGCCTGTCACCAGTCGCCTCCCCTTTAGGCACAGACACGAAAAATACACACAAACACCGACGCACACACATTTGGGGTCTATATTTGGCCCACCCATACTTTTAGCCCTTTCTTTCTGATCCCACATCGCACAAGTGGATCCTCCGGCTAATATTTTGGCCGATCTCAGGTTTGATTCAAGCCCAAAGTATGAGGCTAAAGGAGACTGCGACTAAACGATATGAAATGGAGTTGAGTGAAAGAGATGTGGTACTGGAGGTTGGGACAAAAATGGGAGCGAGCGCGACGTGACAAGAGTTGAAGAGACAATTAGTCCAAGGGATCGCTTTCATGCATCACTTTGACGTGTTGTGACTCTGTCTGATGATGTCGCGATGCCGGCGAGATGTGCGGGAATGTACCAAATCAACGGTCCGATGCTGGAAATCACGAATGCTGCGCCAGAGAACGCAGGACTAGGTACAGGCTAACTTTTTAAAACGATTGTTGGGGGGACTTTCATTTCGTATGCAAGTGCATGAAGAAGAGATTGGTTGTTCGATCTCACCAGAAGAGGACGGATGGATCCCGTTCTACTGCAGCCGTTTGGCTTTTACACGACCTTCATGTTGACGCAGTCCACGGGACTTCCTCCCTCGTTTCGGGTTAAAACGGGCTGAGCTTTTGACCATCATTCGATGGACATCATCAGAGTTGGGTCTTATTCTTGGACAAGTCTCACGTGAACATTCAGTCAAGAAGACTCAATTGAGTCTATAAACGAGGTAGGATAGAGCCGGATAGTCTTCTTGACCGAGTGTCAACGTGACACTTTTACAAGAATGACACCCAGTTCTGATGATGTTCATCATACAATGGACGAAAACTCAGCACGTTTTCACCCAAAACGAGGGAGGAAGTCTCATATACTACGTCCACATGAATCACGAAAAACGCACTCTTCTCGTCTCTCAAGTTGACATGCCCATCTAATCCTAGAGTGTGTGTGTTGGTTGGTATCCCTCATGGTAAAACATGTCACCAGTCACCTCCCATTCAGACACAGATAGGAAAAATGCACACAACTCCTCCACACACACGCACACACACACACACACATACACATGCACTTGTGACCCATTTCTAGCTTTTAATATCACATCCCACATCGCAAAAGTGAACCGCCGGGGTACCTTTTTGGCCAATTCCACATCTGACTCCTCTCACTGCAGTCGCCTCTTCTCCACTTCACTTTGCTCCTCATGAACCGCTCTTTGGTGATGTTCCTTTCTGCTGTTCAACAGTTGTCCTGGCTACAAGCGTCTTCTTCTTCATGCATTTGTTGGATCTCCAAGTCTGCTCAAGCAGAACGCGAAATTTTCGCATATTCTTCCCTCTTCCAATCTCTTCTTCATCAGATTTCTTCGGAAGAGGATGTCCACAGCCTCCTTGATCTTCCGTGTCCTGCTGTCTTGCCCACATGAGGCCAGTCTTTCCGTTG